AACCGCAACCTTAAATAAATCCAATAGTGTTTCAACTGGAGAGTTTATAATTGTTTTATGACTCATGGAAAAATCATAACTTCAGGCTGGGGGTGTGGTTCAAGTGGTAGAGTGCTTTTAAGTGCTCTAGTTTATGAAGTGAATCTTGTTAAAGCCCTAAACTCAAGCCCCAATAATGCCAAAAACTAACTAAATAAGCACCGTATTTTTTAAATCAAAACTTGAAATTTTAAGCCTTATAGTAACATGAGACCTGAAAGATCCTTCCATTTACCTCGTATTTCAGCAAATGCTATCTATCACGTGTTCTTCACTTGCTTTCATCTTTGCAGTTCAGCTGGGGTGTGCAAAGTGGAGAACAATGCTGCCACCTAGTGGGTAGAACTGAAGTGTCCAGTCACAACGAAAATCCTCTCGGGCCAGCCGTAGGGGTGAAGAGCACACTGCTTGAGCCTTGAGATCTCACCTCACTGGGCCTGCATTATGGAGGAAGCACTATTTGTCAGTGGCAGCAAGTGAGTATTGCTTAAGTACCAAACACTGGAGTCCATGCTTAAAAAAATGACAGGATTCGCAACAGCGCCTTCTCTTTACCCATTTGTTCAAATACAAGAGGACTATGTAGATTTTAACCGCTTCACGGTTAAGATGTCCCATGTTCATAGTGGCAATAGAACTAAAACTATGTGAGGAAAATGTGTTAAATGGGAAAAAAAAAGTGACCAAAAGCATCAAAATTGGAGTGGTAAATGAGAAACTCAGCAACCACTTCTAACCCTTTAAAAATACCTATTAGACAATAAAATTGAGTTTGACTATTCATTATAACACGTACCAAGTATCCTTTTAAATACTGAAATATTGAACTTATTCACATGAAAATCATGTTGAGCACTGGAGGCATTCCTACAATCCTAGCTACTCAGGAGGATGAAATCTGAAGATCTCCGTTCAACGCTTGCTCAGGCAGGGCAGTCTGTGAGGCTTTTTTCCTTTGATGTGGTTACTCAAAAAAAAAAAAAAAGTCAGAAGTAGATCTGTGGTACTAATGTAGAGAACCAGCCTTGAGAAGAAAGTCTAAGGAACAGTGTCCAGGCCAAGGTATAAAAATATTGTTATTTAACACTGTTTTGGAAGTTCTAACAAAACTAGTAAGACAATATATTAAAATGTTAATGAAGATTGAAAGGTAATTATGTAATATGACTAAAATGTTTATAAAATCCCTCCCATTCAGAGAAGCACTTGGAAAGATGATTAGATAATATACTATTCCCACTTTGTGTTTACATCAACAATAAACATTAGTGTGTATTATTTAGAACTTTACAGAAATGGAAGAGTTACATATTATTCTTGTTTGGATTATCTCAGTGTAATTATTTTAAAATTCATCCTTGAAATTTATCATTCCCCTCTTTTTTGTTGTTGTTGGTTGTGGGGCTTGAACTCTGGGCCTGGGCGCTGTCTCTCAGCTCTTCAGCTCAAGGCTAGCGCTCCACCACTTGAGCCACAGCGCCACTTCCATTTTTCTGGTGGTTTATTGGAGATTAAAGTCTCACAGACTTTCCTGCCAGGGATGGTGTTAAGCTGCAATCCTCAGATCTGAGTAGCTAGGATTACAGGTGTGAGCCACCAGTGCCCGGCTCTCATTCCCCTTTGTATCCTTTTTGTATCTGATTGTGTTTGTGTATTTATGTATAAAACAGTATATCCTGTTGTGTAGAATTTTAGACTCTGTGTTTTGGTTATTAAAACTGCGGTGGAACTGAAGATGTTTGCAGGGGTAGAGCACCAGGCATGATAGCCTAGCAAGAGGATATAGGATATCAGCACACACACAAAAAAATACTTTCATTTATTTTTAATTCTGATATTCTCCTTAAATAGTTGTATGAAGGAGTTTTAATCTGACATGTGTTTGCGAATAGAATGCATCTCGATCTATGTCAGAACTTCATAATTTCTCTCATCTCTCCCTAACCCTACACATCCCTCAAGTTAACTAGTTCCATTTTCACAGAAGTACATGGAATATGATGCTGGCATTTCCCCACCCTTGCTCTCTCCATTTATCTACCTCCCTCCTTTTAACTCCATCTCCCTCTCACAACACATGTTCTAGCTTCCTGGTATTTATTTCATTAAGCAGGTTTTTCAAAGGAGTTACATCATTGGAATTCTCCCCTGCATGTAACATATTTAATACATTTGTGTATATATGCATATGACCCTCCATACTTTTACATATATGTGTTATTTACATATATACTTATATGTATTTACATATGTATTTATAACTTAGATCTAACTTCCACATGAGAGAAAGCATGCCTCCTTTGTCTCTGTGCTTGACTTAGCTCAGTTAACATAATTAAATCCATTGTTAAAACTGCTTTCAATATTCATACACAAGTCTTTATATGGACACATGCTCCATTTCTCTTTTCATTGAGGAGAAATACTGCATCATATGATTCATAGATGCACACTTCCTTGAAAAATGGCCAGAGTATTTCTAAAGTGATTATAACATTTTACATTATCAGCAATATCTGAGTTGTCTCATATGCTAGCTTGCACTTAGTATATAATTAGACTCAATTTTAGCCATTCTATGATGCATGTAATATTGTTTTAATTTTTTTGTCAGTCATGGTGCTTCAACTCAGGGGCTGGGCATTAGCCCTGAGCTTTTTCTCCTTAAGCTAGAGCTCTACTGCTTTGAGCCACAGCCTCACTTGGTGTTCTCTGGTAGTTAATTGGAGAGGAGTCTCATGGGCTTTCCTGCCAGGTCTGGCTATCAACTGTGATCCTCAGATCTCAGTCCCCTGAGTAGCCAGTGTTGCTGGCATGAGCCATCAGTGCCAGACAAATTTAATTTCCCTGACAAATATTGGTGTTACATGCATTTTCATGTCATTATTTCCTATCCAAATATCTCAAGTGAAGTATATGCTCAATATTTTTTACTAAGTTTTTGCTTTATTGGAGATCACACACACACACACACTATTTATACAGAACCCCACAAAATTTCTATGTCCCTATATGGTTTCTCTTTTTACTCCTAATATGTTGTCCTATCATTGACTGCAAATTGTCAATATATTTTACATGAATTTTGCTTTAGTGTAATGTCCAATAAATCTTTTTCCTAAGTCACAAAGTTTTTACCTATAATCTTCTGTAAGTTCTATCTTGCATTTAGCCATGAGCCATTTTGCTGCACTGTCTTTAGTGTGTGGGGTAGGATATGTATCAAAGTGGTTGTTTTTCATATTCAATGTTCATTTACAATCGGTTGAAAAGACTTTCTCCCAATGAATTGTGTTCACAAATTTGTCCAAATTCATTAGCCCATGATGATTGAGTCTGTGTGTGTGCTCGAGTGTGTATGCTGGTCCTGGGGCTTGAACTCGGGGCCTGGGTACTGTCCCTGTACCCCTTCTTTCAGGGTTAGCTCTCTCCGCCTGGAGCCACAGCTCCATGTCTGGGTTTTGTGGTTATGTGAAGAATTGGATGGATGCTGCAGGCTGGCTCGGAACTGCAATCCACTGGTCTCCACCTCCTGAGTAGCTGGGATGACAAGCATGAGCCATGGGCGCCCGGCTTGAGTCTACTTCTCGATTCTATTCTGACGCGTAACAGCCACGGGACTGCTGTTTAATAAAAGTAAGAAATGGCAGAACCAGAACTAAGAGGGATAAGGCATGATGGCTAGGAGGCCACCTGAGGATGAAGGACCGAATGGTGCCCCTTCCCCCAGTCACACCCCAATGTCATCCACTTTCCCTAGGAAAGGAATGAAGGCTGAAGTTTTCCCAGCCGCTGGAACGTCGTCAAGGTTGTTTTACTAGAGTAAGAGCCAAGGGTGAGCTCTCCCGGGCACGCGGCCAAATGCGGTGTGGGGGGGGGGGGACCCCCAC